ATACACTTATTCTTAAATTTCAATGATTATAGCGCCTCGATGGCACCAACCAGTAAGTTTTTTTAAATTTTTTTTTAAAAAAAAATTCTCATTTTAATAAATGGTTGTCTCTCAACGCTACACCCTTACTAAAAATTTCATAATTTAGTAAGCATAAAAAAATATTCGATTTAAATTATGATCAAAATATTTATGATAATATAAAAATTTTTTTTTATTATTTACTCATATTATTTGTTACTATCATGCAAAATGAATCCAATTTTTTTGTGTTCAAAAGCGTTCCTATTTTTTTTAAAATACAATTTTAAAAAAATTTAAAATAACAATATTTATTTATTTTTAAATGTTTTTTTTTATATGTATTACATGATTTTTAAATAAAAGAATTAAGATAATATATAATTTTTACGTTGATAAATCTCATTTTGAACCTTTGCGCAAATAAACAAGAATATCTTTTAGTTCAATCCCCACTAAAAGTTCTCATACAAAGTGGCGTAGCTAGGATTTTATCATGGGGGGAGGACTTCGCCCCCCAAACCTCCCATTTTTTTGAACACCTAATTGCTTATATTTTTGGATTTGTTAAAATTGTTTTATATTTTCATATAACAAAATTTTAGGGTATTTTATTATATATTTTACATTCCTTTATTTAATCATGTATATATTTTTATTAATTAAAATATTTTCAAAGATATTTTATATAATACAGATTTTAATATTAAAAATTATAATGTATAAAGACTCTATTTTAAAAAAAGTAATTTTTTACAATTATATAAAATATGTGTAATTCTTATGCAAATAATGGTATTTAAAAAAATATGATTATATTATTTTATAAATAATACTTTTTTTACAAAAAAAAATTGATTATATATTAAACTAATAAAATTTTATTGCTATTTTTTGATTTGAATTTAAAAAGAGAGATCTACTTTTCTCTTAGATTTTGATTATTCATCTAGAATTAAATTTTTATCTAAAATAATCTCCTTATAAATATTCAATAGGGCTAATCTATTTAAACGTTTTCCACCGATTGTGTTTCTTAAATAGGTTTTTAACCTTTTTAAAGTTGAAAAAGACCTTTCATTAGTGCAGATACTATTTGGCAAGGTAGCTAAAATAATTAATCATGTTTTGATATTAGACAGGGAATCTAAAATGCAATTACATATGGAAAGGACCTGCAGAGCATTTTTTGGTCTCAAAGAATACCCTATTCTGTCAAGATTTTTATACCAAAATTCGACATCACAAAGTAACTTATCATATGAACCTATTAAATCATCAGCATAAAACTCTGAGATTTTTTAATATCCTCTCGTGTTTCAAGTGTAATCAACAGTTTAGACTCGACCGGCAAAAGAAAATAAAAGCTTTTTAAAAAATAATTATGACTAATAAATCTTTCTTTTAATTGAAATAAAAATGTATCAATAAGGGGAATAAAAATGTTTATTTTATAAAAATCCTCAATCGTAGATGCATCAATATTTGATCGATTGGATTGTCTAGAGACTACTCTAGGTCTAAAAATTTCAATTCCAAACATATTAGCAATCTTCTTTACTTTTTCATATATTTCATAAAAATTTTCATCCACATTCTCTCTGATCTCTGATTATTTGTTAATATTTCAACAATATCCTTTGCTCTATTCATAATCTCCCTTAAATCCAAATCAATTTTTTGTAGCTTGCTAAAATCATATGTATAATTAAATAAAAAATAAACACATTGAATTGAAATTAAAAACTGTGGCTTAATAATAGCCAGCAAAAGATTTTCGGCATCTGCTGAATCTTTTTCCTTGCTTGATATATAAAATTCTTGTGCTGCAAAGACAACATATATTTCAATAAAGAGTTTCACCGACTCTTTCGATGAATCTCGTCGGACAAATCTTTTTAGTTTTTTTTTTGATTTTTTGAGTCAATATCATGATACGTTTGAATAAATAACTCCCTTTTTTTGGGTGGTGTGAAATAGCTGCAAACCAAAAATAAATATAAAAATAATCAAATGGGTATATCTATTATTATTTATAATAAATTTAAAACATAAAGCGTTTATTAAGAATTTATTAATTTTATTTTTTCATTTTTCATGAAGGGGGGGGGGGGGTTAGTCCCCCACCACCATGCTTACGCCACTGCTCATACAACTAACATTAAAAACGATCCTAATTTTTCTTCGTATATATTATTTCTCAGCCTATTTTTTAAAATTTACTAAATGGTCTCTCACAATTAACTTGAGTAAATGATAATGAAATGTATTCATATGTGAAAAATAAATTAGTGTATGCAATTGTGTGCATATTGTATCTTTTAAGAATTTCATACAGGCATATTAATCAATTGTTACATTTATTATCACAATTCACATTCTGAGTTATTATCTTATTCTACTTTTTCATTAGACTCCTCACCTGCTCATACGATATCATCGTCCGTTTCATTTAATTCTGCTATTAAATCTTTGAATTCCAAATGAACACAATTCGTTACGTTATTTAACATTCAATATATTTGTTGTGTCACTTTTTCCAAGGCCTTTTCAGAAATACCTTTACTATTATTTTTATCAAAATGCCTAGGATAATATTGAACATTCAAAATAAACTCTCTTTTTGCAGAAAACCGTTCTGATGTTTATAATTTGATCAATTATAGGACGAAATACTTCGACCCTATAATTTTAAATCAAATCCAACAAGTTTTTTTTTATCTCATTAATTTTTCCGACGATAACATCCACAACAGTTATCGATAATCTGGTATTAAAAAAAAGTTATGAAGAATATATTTTTTAATGTTTACCTAATAAATTTTAAATAACAAATAAAAGTTGTTTATTAGCCTGCCCATTGTTAAAATTTTTTAAAGGTCCGTTAGCACTCTTTAAATTATTTAGCTAGCCAGCCCAATTTGATAGAAGGGCCGTGGGCTAAAAACCAGATCATTTGGGCAAAAAAATTCAAAAATATTTTAAATAACGATTAACTGAAATTTTAATTTAACATGTTTACAATATATATTTTTACCGATTTACTTTAAAAAAATTCAAAATAGTTCAAAAATAACGATTGTGACAATTGTCACTTTTCTATGGTATATCTTCACTGAAATTTTAATTTAACATTTTCACAATATATATTTTTACCGATTTACTTTAAAAAATTCAAAAATAACGATTATGACAATTGTCACTTTCTATGGTACATCTTCACTGTAATTTTATTTTAACATCTTTACAATATATATTTTTACCTATTTACTTTAAAAAAATTCATAAAGTTCAAAAATAACGATTATGACAATTGTCACTTTTCTATGGTACATCTTCACTGAAATTTTAATTTTTTACAATATATATTTTTACCCATTTGCTTCAAAAAAGTTCAAAAATAACGATTATGACAAAAATTTTAATTTAACATGTTTACAATATATATTTTTACCCATTTGCTTCAAAAAAATTCAAAAACGTTAAAAAATAACGTTTATGACAATTGTCACTAGAGATCCTAATTCTATTTAAAATAATCGGGTTCGGGCTGGGTTAAATTATTTAAAAAAATTTCGGGTCGGGTCTGACCTTGGATATTTTTTTAAATATATCTAAATTTATCAATTTTATATTGAATTTTTATGTCAAATAAAAATATTTGATTTTATTTAATGAAACTAAATTACATATAACATATGTCTTTTATTTTGAGTAATTATAAAGATAACGATTAATTCCTATATTTATTTAAATAAATTCGGGCCGGGCTGGGTCGGTAAATTTTTTTAAAAAAAATTTCGGGCCGGGCTTGAAAAATTAGGCTCGATGCAGATCACTTATTGTCACTCTTCTATGGTACATCTTCACTGAATTTATTTTAACATCTTTACAATATATATTTTTACCTATTTACTTTTCAAAAAAGTTAAAAAATAAAGATTATGACAATTGTCACATATCTATTACGTCAAAAAATTTCAAAAAACTTTAGAAATAACGATTATGACAATTGTCACTTATCTATGATACATCTTCATCGAATTTTTAATTAAACGTATTTACAATCTAAATTTTTACCTATATGCGTCAAAAAATTTCAAAAAACTTTAGAAATAACGATTATGACAATTGTCACTTATCTATGATACATCTTCATCGAATATTTAATTAAACGTAATTACAATCTATATTTTTACCTATGTGCGTCAAAAATATTTCAAAAAACTGAAGAAATAACGATTTTGACAATTGTCACTTATCTATCACTGAAATTTTAATTTAACATATTTACAATCTATATTTTTACCTATTTGCGTCAAAAAAATTCAAAAAACTTTAGTAATAACGATTATGACAATTGTCACTTATCTAGGGTTCATCTTCGCTAAAATTTTTTAACATGTTTACACTATATATTTTTACCTATTTCCGTCAAAAAAATTCAAAAAACTTTAAAAATAACGATTATGACAATTGTCACATATCTGTAGTGATCCTAAAATGTTTAAACTAAAAATGTTTAAGACAAATTTATCCTCAAAGGTTAAGACAAATCTTTATTTCAAAGTTCAAGACAAATTTTTATTTCCAATTATTTTATTTTTTTCTTTTATTAATTTCAATACAAATATATATTATGCTTTTCTAAATTCAAAAAATTAAAATATATCGTTTATAATTTTTCTAAATTCACCAAATCGCGGAAAAAAAATGAAAAACTATATCTTGAAAATCGCGAGCGAAAATAAAAATATATCATCTCAAAAATCAATAATATGCTTTTTTTTTCTTTCTTTTAACATACAAACATACAAAAAAAATCAATTATATTTCTTCGACTACAACATGTACCCCCTTCTAAGGATAAACTCCAAGGTAGATGCTAAAAAAATAATTGCAATACAACAAAAACTAAATTTTCTAAAATTTATCTATTATATACCAAAAAAATATTTTACAACACTTAGACAAAAAAAATCATGGCGCCGCGTTAATGATTAAATCCTGGAGTCATTCATTTCAACCTCAGCTCCATTAACATTAGATTTAACATTTTTTTAACCACAAATTTCGAATTTTCTCCTCCATTTTGAATTTCTTTCCTTCCCAAATCTTGCATTGTCCCACATGTCATTCTTTCAATCTCTGCTGCCCGGCGGAATTTGAATAGCACACGTCGTCAGCGAATTCTTCCGCTTCCCTCGCTAATAACCTGCTTCGTCGAACACTCTCCGAGGCTGGCCCCCAGCCCAACGATTGACCCCTTGGTTGAACGTATACGTATTACTCGCTCCACTCGCACACTCCCGGGCCTTGTGTCCTCTTCCCCCACAATTGAAGCAATTTAAGTTGAGCCCCCTCATTCCTACTTGCCTTTATTGGATAGCTGCCGGACCTGTCGCAAAATTCGCTTGTAAAGGGGCTCTACCCTGCGAGGACGTAGGACCATTCAAGGTTGTCGGCGGAGCTCCTTCTCCAGTTTGTTGCTCGATCCATGCATTGTGCCATTTATCGGCGAGTGGATTGGACATATCCAACGAATTAATTTGCAGCATTGTCCTATTTGTTTTGATGTAGTAAGTTTCCATAGATTCCAGAATATACTTTTTTTTCGAATTTTTTTTTTCCCTTGATTTTACAACAAAAAAATTTACAACACAATTTACATACAATGGATACTACACACTAATTTCTTTCTTTTTTCCTTTTCACCTCAAATAAATACTATTATTATTATTTATTCCCCTTTTTACTTAAATACCAATATAACACATACCATACTTGAGAATAACACAATTTTCTTTTTTTACCATCAGAACATTATACATATAACACATACTCAACTTGAACATAACACAATTTTCCCTTTTTTTCACAATCGAACATTTTACATATAACTTTACCAAATAGTTTACATACTACCCTACCAGTTGTTTTCTTTCTTTCCCCTTTAACCTCAATTCCCCTCGTAAAAAAAAAATTTCTTTTTACACACCGCCTAACTTGTATTTAACTTTTACAATTTTTTTAACCTCAATTCCCTTCATAGTAAAATAATTCCTCTTTTACACACCACCTAAATTGTATTTAAACTTTTACAATTTCTTATTTTACCAATTTTTTCTAATTAATTATCTCTTTTTAACTTTTTAACCATCACAAATTTCTATTTAAATTTTTACAATTCCTTATTTTACCAACTTCTCTAATTAATTATCTCTTTTTGCTACCCTCAATTTTTATTTTTTTTACAAATTTTCTCCTGAATTGAATTCTTTATTCAATCAATAATTTCAAAAACATAACGTGTTTAATACATCACATAGCTAATTCTTTAGCGATCGTCCTATGGCCACTTAAGTCCAAACATTTAATTTTTCTTCTGATTTTATTTCTTTTCTACAAACTCTCTCTATATATATACGTTTACATTCACGGTCCACAAATTATTGGCTGCCCTACAAGAGTCCTAATTCTCCAAAAAAAAATTTTTTAAAACTTTTATTCAATTTTTTCTACTTGATATATAAATTTCACACAAAAACAAAAATTTTATATATATATACAGCTATTCCTTTATACCCTTACTCTTAACTGATTTCTATGTCTCGTGACCTCACTATGGTCTTCCAACCTAACTTTGAGTACTTTATTTCACACATTCTCTATAACTATTCCTTTTTCCCATTTTTTTATTTATTCCATACATCCGAACCCATACTAATTGATCAACCACAAATTTCAAAACAACATTATCTCCCATTTCTACATCCGTATCTACCGGTCTCAAACTATCCAAAAAGAAAATAATTTTTCTTCCCATCATTTTCTCTGCTGGTGATTTGCCATCCTTTCCAATTGCACTATTGTAATATAACTGCGTTATCCACAATTCTCCTTTACTTTCTTTATTCTTTTTTAACCAATTTTTCACTATCGCTACCATCCGTTCAGCCTGCCCATTTGAACTAGGATGGTACGGTGGTGATATTATATGTCTCACATTCATCTTTACACAAAGATTTTTAAACAACACACTTATAAAGGCCGGTCCTCCATCGGACACCATAATACTTGGAATACCAAATCTCGAAAACAATTTTTTGCAATGTCTTATTACTATTCCCGCTGTTAATCCATGTACTTCTTCAAACTCAATCCATTTTGAAAATGCATCCACGCTCAAAATAAACTTTTTTCCTTCCCATTCAAAAAAATCCAAATGCAATCTTATCCAGGGTCCTTTAACTTTTGGCCAATTAATACCCTTTTCCTTCCGGGGCATATCGGACCAGGCATTGCAAATCTCACAACTTTTACCCAAATCATTAATTTCTTCATTCATCCCGGGCCACCATACATATATATTCTCTTCCCCATTGCTTCATTTTTCTATTCCTTGATGCCCCCCATGTAACATATTCAAAACCCCTTCCCTTAATCGTCGTGGGACTATAACTCTATTTCCCCTCCGGGGTGGCCTAATGGGTAAGATGTACGCTTGGAAACATGAGTATGAAGAAGGGCGCAGGTTCAATCCTGTAAGAACCATAAAAACTTACAAGTTTTTCTTCGATGACAGATGTGTAAAGACATATGGTATGATGAATTTCGGAGCTTAGAGATGACACCCCGGTCACCGACAGGCCCGGACAGCCGGGTGCTAAGGATGCCTATCCAATAAACAAAATGAAGAAAACAAATGGAAATATGAATATGAAAGATAGGGCGTTCCCTCCAAGCGACGCGCAGGGTGTAGACCTCCATCCTGTGAAAAGTAAAGTAAAGGTCAAAGCAACAAGATTAGCAAGTTTAAATATTGGGACGCTTAAAGGTAAGACGAGAGAATTGGAATCAATGTTGAAGAAGAGAAAAGTTGATATAGCGTGCATACAAGAGACGAAATGGAAAGGACAGAAGACTTTGATGATTGGAGATGGGTATAAATTGTACTATAATGGACTTGTTAGCAATAGGAACGGTGTCGGTATCATTCTCAGTCAAGATCTAACCTCCTCAGTTGTAGAAATCAACAGGATCTCTGATAGACTAATGAAGATAAAACTCTACATTGGTCAATCAATACTACACATCCTTTCATTATATGCTCCTCAAACGGGTTGCAAGGAATAAGAGAAAGATGATTTTAGAGCTATCCTCGATGAAGCTGTAATGGAAATCCCTAAAGATGACCTAGTCATAATTGATGATGACTTAAATGCGCATGTGGGGAAAGCAAGAGATAGCTACAAAAGGCATCATGGTGGTTTTGGATATGGAGAAAGAAATGATGAAGGAGAGCATATACTGAAATTTGCGCAAGCCTTCGACCTTGCCCTAACCAACATCTACTATAGGAAAAAGGATAGTCATTTAATAACATATGAAAGTGGTACAAGGAAAACACAGATAGATTACATACTAATCTCTCGCAGAAGATTAAAAGATGTAATAGACTGCAAAGTCATCCAAGGAGAAGATATCGCCGCACAACACAAGCTACTAGTCATGGATTTACACATCTCAAATAAATCCACTCAAAACAAGATAAAACTGGAACCATGCATCAAATTTAAAAACAATGACAGATGCCTTTGCAATCAATGCAAACATTGAAACAATAGATTCCTCACAAGTCAGTGAAAAAATGTGGACAGACCTTTCATCCAGATTAATAGACACTGCCAAATCAACACTAGGTTTGGCAAGAGGAGGCAACAAATCATACAAAGAACTATGGTGATGGAGAGGTACGAACCACTATACAAAAGAAAAAAGCCCTTTATAAAATATGGTACAAATCCAAAAACGCAGATGACAAGACAAGATACAAAAAATCCAAGAGATTAGCTACAAAGGCGGTGGCTAGAGCCAAATCTATGGCATACGATGACATGTACGAAGATCTACATACCAAAGAAGGGCAAAATAAAATATACAGATTAGCCAAACAGCGAGAAAAGAACTCTAGGGATATAAACGGAGCTCCGAAAGTAATCAAAAATAAAGATGGGAAATTGATAATAAAGGAAAAAGAAATAATGAGTAGATGGAGAGAATATTTTCAGGAGCTTCTCAACTTTAATCCGCACATACTGCATCTAGACGAACACTCTCCTTGTCAAAACCTTGTTCAACCTATAACACAACAAGAAATAATCACATGCCTCAAGCATATGAAAAACAACAAAGCTAGGGGTCCAGACGATATTCCAATAGAAAGCCTTAAAGCACTAGGAGATGATGGAATACATCTCCTCACAAATCTATACAATAAGATACTTGGAAATGAAGAGGTTCCCCAAAAATGGAGGCAGAGTTATATAGTTCCTATCTTCAAAAATAAAGGGGATCCACATAATTGTCAAAATTACAGGGGCTCACACTGTCTAAAACTATACGAAAAAATAATAGAAAAAAGATTAAGAGATATAATCGAAATAGGAGAGACTCAGTTTGGCTTTATGCCTGGAAGATCAACAACCGATGCTATCCACGCAATTAGGCAAATGAGTGAAAAATACAGGGAAAAGAACAAAAAGCTACACATGGTCTTTCTCGATCTAGAAAAGGCCTTTGATAGAATCCCAAGAAAACTTATTGGGCGCTACGCCACAAAAATGTTCCCGAAAAATATATAAGAATAATACAAGATATGTATATGGGCCATATAACAATGATCCGTAGCACAACAGGTACTTCAGCAGGCTTCACAATAGCCGAAGGAGTTCATCAAGGGTCGGCTCTCAGCCCACTTCTCTTCATTACAGTAATAGATGTATTAGCACAGTCTATACCTCAAACAGTCCCGTGGAATATGATATTTGCAGATGATATTGTGATACTTGCCGAATCTAAGGATGAAATGAAAGAAAGACTAGTGAGTTGGATAAATATCCTAGAAACGCACGGATTAAAAGTAAATAGAGAAAAGACGGAGTATATGGTGATAGGAGGAGATGAAACAGAGAGTATTGATATAAATGAATGGCAGATATCGGCAATTGAAAGCTGCAAATATTTGGGCTCCACTATACAAACAAACGGCAATAGAAAAAGAGATAAAGAGTAAGATTAATCAAGGGTGGCTAAAGTGAAGATCTTTATCTGGAGTGCTATTTGATAAAAGAATCCCACACAAATTAAAGGGAAAAATTTACAGTTCCATAATACAACCAACTATTCTATATAGTTCGGAAACATGGCCAACCAAAGAATCAGACGAGAGAAGTCTACAAGCCATGGAGATGAGAATGCTGAGGATGATTGCTGGGGTAACAAGAAAGGATAAAGTGCGCAGTACAAGAATATTAAGTAGTTTAAAGGTAGTGCCCATTAAGACTAAGTTAATGGTAAACAGACTTAGGTGGTATGGGCACACAATGAGAAGGCCTATGAACTACATAGGAAATAAAGTTAAGAGTTTGGAAGTGATGGGCAAACGTAAAAGAGGAAGACCAAAACTTCAATGGGGCGATAAAGTTAGAGCCAATATAAAGAAGTATAAATTAGATAAAAGAGATTGTATTAATAACATAAAGTGGAGAGAGATGTTGAAGGAGCTTACCACCAGAAAAGGTGAAAGCTAAAGAGAAAAAAAAATACAATCAACAATTATTACCAATTCC